TCCCCTTCCCTTACATGTTATCTGTAATACGCGCTCCGCAGACGCGCCGTTTCATTGTACATTTGCGCGATTAAGGGAATCTATATGGCTTCGCCACAATTATTAATTACCCCGCCTGCCCCGTTCGCCCCGTTGTTTTGCGCCGCTGCTTCTTTTTCCCCAAGTCGTTTTTTCGAGCGCGCCGAGTCTTTGCTAGGAGAAAATTATCAAACCATCACGTTGTTGTAACAATGAGAGGGTAGGGGGCGAGCGCGGCTAATTAAGTATCGACCTGCCGACAGGAGTAACCGGAGTAATACATAATTACGATGTATTCTTTGGACATCCGCCCAGGGGAGAGCTTTTTGCCCCCCCCCCCTCCGCTCCCGCCCCTCACGGTTTTCCTAACACGCGGCGAAGACTAATCAATTTTCCATTCACCGGCAGCCGTTGATGGATGACTTACGATCACGCCGAGGTTTTAATAAATCAACATCCGTCGCCCGCTATACCCGGGCCTGTCATCAGTCTCCTTAGGGGTTGACCTCGGCGGAAGAGGGGCAGTAGGCGCGAAATCGTCAATCGTTGTCTCTTTGCCACGGGCGTGAACAAGCGGGATCGTCGAGTGTATCGCGAGGATCGATCTATCACCAAAATCGGGACAAAAACTGTTGGTTCTACAATTTTTTTTAAGTAACAAAAAATTCAAAGCCAGACTGCAATGTGTGTGTGTGTGTGTGTGTATGTGTGTGAATAAAACACAATAAGTAGAAGAAGGATTTATCTGAGAAAATCATGAAGCATGAAGTGGACTTTATATTTTCTTCATAGCATCCAGGCTGTAATATCCTGCGATATATCTGATCTGCTCGTAAATTTCCGCGAAAGAAAGTAAAACGGCCGGAGGGGGACGAGAACGTGGCGAGCGAACGAACGATATATACGTCGCTTTCTTATTAACCGCTTTCTTTCTTCCGCGGATGATGATGGAAGATCGTAACGCGGAAATTTCCCGGGCTATTGATTCGTATCGATAACGTACGTCGGGTGATAATTGTGCGCTGTGTATCATCGGAAGGGATAATAACCGGAAGGCGATCAAATGGCTCGTCATTTTTCAGAGAATTTGCCCTGTGAAAGAATACACGTGCAGGGACGGAAGGAAAAACATAATGAAGGACCTACGATTTACGATCGCGATTTTGCTTCTAATAACAGGGAGATACCGTTTACGTTTGCTATAATTAAGCGCTACAGGGGTATTCCAGAAATTTTCCTCTCTCACATCGTGTTTAATTTTAATATCTATAATTAAAAATCGTATGCTATGACGTATTATCACCGTCAAATTCTGATGACGCCAGCAGACTTTTTCGATCTTTGTCGAGGGATTAGTGATAGGTAATTACATCGCGCTTCATTTCACTCTAAAAGCTGATTCTGTGAAGGCCTGGAAGGTATTACCGTCAGAGTGCCACGAAGGGACAAACGTCGGGTGTGGCTTATCTGAACGGACGAGCGGTTTCACCGGAATTTGCTTGTAACCGCTTGTAGCCGCAGTGCATGCTGGTTCAGCACGTTGAAGTAGCGTGTATAGTAATTACTTAACGAAGTAAATATGATTTCGCACGCTCGCATATGTATGGCCCGGAAATATTTTTCAAATTGCTTTAGTTAAGATGACATAAATAATAAATAATTGTATCAAGTTACATATAAAAAAATATCGTAACCCCTTAAAAAAATATTGTTAAATGAAAAAAATCTAAAATTTTTTGTGCCAAAGAATATAAATTCCATGGAAAGAGAGATATAGTTGTTTCATGGATGTTATTACAGAAACAAGATCGAAAAAACAGAACGCTACGTGACTAAGCATGCGAAATTAAGGCTATATTGAAAGAAACAATATTAGCAATTTGACGTAATACGTACTGGTTACGAATCGTAACATTGATGTTATTAGAATTTCAAATAAGCTTTTTTTCAAAATAGTCTTTTCTATTTGCAGTATCAACAGATTTGTTTGACTAACAAGTACGTGAGATTTTCTGGTCTACACAGTCGACCCAGTTCTGTCTATCGTGTTCTACTGTGCATTTGGATCTCTTGAAACGTTTAGCGCATGAATTTATTAACATGCATATGTGAAATATCGTGATAGCGGTTAATTATATATATATTAAACGATTTGAGATAATTAGTAGTAATTAAATAATCGATAGTAAAACCTCTTATTATAACTCCTTAATAAATTTAACAAATCCTCCTTTTAAACATATTCTTAGTACATTTTACTATAAAAAGTAACATCTAATTATCAATTATAATATCCTATATAATTCACGCATATATAATTCATTTTCATCTAGTTATGTCATATTAATTATAATCTACATATTTTTTTGTCTGTCTTATCTTTAATATTTTACTTGCATTAACTATCTGTAATATAATGCTTTTATATTAGTCCAAAAGCAGTACCTTCCAAACAAAAATTAATTATATTTTATTTTATTCTGAAATTACTTTAGGTATCAATAATATCATCAATCAAATGATATTACTGATACACTATCTTTTACACAAGTGGATGCAGGAAGCTCTCGTATCGAAATTAACATATCAAAATTAATAATAAATTATCGCAAATTTATATACATATACTCACCGGCAAAAAAACTTCTATAGATCTAGATTTTAATAGGTGCCCGGTTTTTTTTACCGATGAGTATATATTAATATTGCAACAAAATTATTCTATCAGTCCCGTTTCGTCTCCAATCGCTATAATTTCACTATCGATTAATACGCCGCTCTCGATCGATCGTTCAATTTAGTCGGCAGGAGTGCCATACTAAGACGTCTATGGTGGATACATAATGGGGCAAGTACGTGGCACGTACTACGCGCCACGTAGCCGGCTTATCAGAAGCGTGCAGAGGGTAGGCAGGCTTATCGACTCAACGGCTTGACAGGCTTCCACGTCCTTTCCCACCTTTAGTAGGTGGAGCGTCGAAAGATGATGAGCGCCGATCGAAGGACCCCGAGGGACTTTCAGCCGCTCTCTCGAGGGAGGGCCATCCGCGCTAAGCCCTGTACACGAAGTCGTTGATGCGTCGTGAGGTAGGAGATAGCACGGTCGTGGGCCACGCTGACCGATATTACGTGCTTAAGAAGCTCATGGCCGTTCCCCGATATGACTACAGCGGTAAACAGAGTTTTCCGCTGGGGCCCACCCTCTTCCCTCGGATCGGCTTAGCGCGAGCAAATATATATTCCGCGCCGCGGCGGTTCGGAAAAATCGGGAAGGAATTAATCGGTCAAATATGGGGATCGCCCGGGTAATCTTCTTACCGGCATTCGCGTGCTTCATCGAGTCGTACTTAGCGGCCTACTTAGACGACTGTGCTGCTTATAAAAAGAGCTTTAGGGGAGGGCTTTCCTTATAGAGACGAATCTGCATTGAGGCTAATATGAGCTTTCACTTTGAGTCTCCCAATAACGCGAGAAAAGATTTTGCCCCGAATAATTTCGCGTTTAAAAATATCTCTTGCAATCTTTTAAACATATATTTTTCCACGGAATATAAAAAATATGTTTATTTTTTAATTTAACAGATTTGAATTATTAATACAAAACTTGATACATTATTCAGCTTTTCTAGCTCATTAATTATTCTCGTACTTTGATACGTAATACAATAAATTAACACCGTATTAAATTGATACCAAATGTATCAATATAAACGCACAAGAAAAATATGAATGAATTAGGATGTGGTACTTACAAATTGTAGTGCACGTCTGCCATGTTCGGTCGATAGCGAAGAGCTTGAACGAACGCTTCTTCCGCTTCGGCTACTCGTCCCTGTTCGCTGAGAATGCTGCCCAAGTTGCCGTAAGCTAAAATCAAGTGAACAATATTTTATTTAACATCTCGTAACAAATTGGTTTAGTGAAATATTAAAATATTAATAGACTCGAAACCGACTATTCAGCATAAAGTTAATAAGAATGATGAACATAAAAAATTTATCCGGCTCCCGAAAAATGTGAAAAGCGGAGCGAAATGGAGCGAAAAGAAATGATAAACGTGCACAGTACGGTGTCTGTGTAGGAAACTGGCGGCACGCTAATTATTAACGGATGGCACGATGTACAGGTGCGAAATACGTCTTACGCTTTCGGTGTTAATTATTATCCTAGCGGCAATTACTTGAGAATTATCACGATCGAGATACGCCCGCCCATCATTTCTCTGCTTACGTGCTCGCTTGTAGTTGAATATTCAACTCGTTAAATGATCAGCAGGAAGTGCCCCGGGAACGTAGTTACATGCTGCGCGCACGCACGCTCCGCGCCTATATACATCACCAGACATAAAGGTTAATATTTTCGTAGTTATTATACCTTCAAGCGCTATTATACGCGATATTTGAAGTGCAGTTTGCGCAGACAACTTTACAACTTGAGTGATATTAAATTCTGGCAGATCAAAAACACGTGAAATAAAACCGTTTCAAAGCCAGAATTAAGCATCTGCATAATCCATATCGAGTGTTCTCATGAGAATTTGGATATTTATCGATGATCAAACATTTACTCTCTTGTCTACTTTCTATTACTTAAATAAATAATAGACAATTTTATAAATATAGATGGCATTTTCGAAAACAACCACTCATATAAGAATCAATAATACTGATCAATAATATTGAATCAGTAGTACTGCAGTATGCATTAACATTTTTATAACTTTACACGATCAGTATTATTGGCAATATTTCAAAACTCAGTTTTATATACCCACGTAATTGTACTATTATACTGACGGAAATAGTCGCGTTCTTTTTTCAACAAATATTGATAATATCATTGACGGCGATTTGATTTTCTTGATTTTTGAGTGATATTGCTACGTAGGTAATAAGGATATTTCTCACCACAGAGCGATACTGATACTTACAAAACACGAAATCTCCGCCATACTACATTAACTAACATCAATCAATATTAAATATTAATCACACATATTATCAGATTTCTCTTCGCTTCTTTCTGCCTTAAGGAATAGAGATGGCGTTCCATATGACTTATTAGCTCGCATTACATAGCGACTCTAAAGTGTGACCTACACAGAAACACACGTAGAACTGCCACTGACTGTCTAGTCATTGATAAATTATATAAAGCGTGACAGAGACTCCTCAAGGTATTTAATTTTAATTTAAGTAATTCTATTTTTTGTTTTATGGTTTTTTTTACGGTATGGACCAGCATTAACTTTGTATTGTATAATATATTCTAGAATATCTAAATGTATTTAAACCGACCGAGCTTTATCTATCATAAAACCGGGGAGATTTAAGTTACACACTTCGTAATACACTGTCTTACGGACTTGCATACATTTAAAAACTTGCGCCTTATCTAGTTCATATAATGCGATAAGTAGTACTCATATTTTTATATTATCTGACCGTTTTAGACGACCGTATGTGTTTGTATTTTAAATTTATATGGTTAGACCGTTAGGATGACCAAATATTGTTTTTAAATTATGTATTATTAATTTTGCGCTTAACATTGAAAATGATCCTATTTGGATTGAAACGTCCGTTTATTATATTTCAATTAAAGAGTTACATTTACTTGGAGCATATAACACCCTGCTTTGGCTCATAGCCCTTCATTTCTTATTAATTTATTATCAGTATTTGTTGGTATTGACAGTATTATTGATCAAATAAAGTATTAGAAATATTAGTTCAAGTAACAGAAATATTCAAATATTTTTTCTTCGTCGGCACGCATTTTTGGACGCATTTTTATCCAATCGAAATCGATACCGAAATCGATCGAAATCGTTATTGTTGTGATGTAATCAGTGGAAATCGCAGGTTATTCGAGAGCGAACGATACGCGTTAAATCAACGAGTAGGCGTCAACTCGACGGTCGAGCGACTTCGAGGTGCAAAGGAGAGAATGTGCGCAGCTCTGTGCGAGGGTGCAGGCTGTTGAACAGGAAGGAGGGGGTGGGTCTGCGGAAGGAGGGATGAGAATGGGCACGGATGCATCGTCCGGCGAATACGCGCGGAGTGGACGAACGCGCGCGCCCGCGTCCGCGTGACCTCTGAACCAACAAAATGTAAATTTATTTCTCGTAGCGGAGCAGCCTGTTAACACGGTAACACGCAATTTCTGTCGGCGCAATTAAAACGCGCTGCAACGTCGCTGCTGGCGCCGGTGGTAGCGCGTTGTGTCGGCGTCAGCTCGCGTGACCGTCCGCTCCACGCCGCGGCCACTATCCGCTCACTCGCTCGCGCTCTTTGCCTCCCGTTCCCTTTCCCCTTTTGCGGGAACATTAAAAAAAGAGTGGATGAAGATTGGGTGGGAATGGAAAGCATCCTGAGGGAAGAGACGAGATTGTCTCGCGAGAGCGACGGGCAAATGCCAAGTCGGCGGAATTAAGATGAGCTGCCCTGGGATTTATAAAAAAATATGGAGATACAGAAGCAAGAGGCAAGCTTTCTTAGACAAAATTTAATGACAAGCGTAATCAGTTCTCGTTTAGAGTTAGATGTGAGACGAACTACTTGAACAGGAAATTGTAATTAAAATACTATAACGAGAAAATCTAACTTTTGTGACAACCATATAACCAATATAAAGCACTCAATTTATTGGATTTTCTTGGAAAAGATGATAATTAAAGACAAATGATAAAATATTAAAGTTGTAAAAATAAATATTATTTTCCAATAAAACTGCTTCTATTTTATTTTTCGTTAAATGTAGAACATTCACGTATTCTGCTTTATACTTATGGCCAACGTTGTACATATTAATTTATATGATAATTAATGTATATAATAATTATTAATGATCATCAGTAATTTCTACGTTAATTTTATTGCAAAGTCTGCGCTGTAGTTGTGATAATTCTGTTCTAATTCGATATAATGTTGAAGCGACAAAAGCTGACAAAAAGTCTAACTTTAGAATACTTGGGATTAACCGAGCGAGAATGCATAAATAATAAAAGCTTGGCTCAGATAATCTTAAAATAACGCAATGCAACCGATGACGTGGAACAGATGCGGCAGCGCTGATGTGCGGCACAATTAATACGAACTACTGTCCGGTAGATTAAATCGTGCAATCAATCGTTAGATTATCACGAAGGTAAATGGGGCGAATAGAGTGTAAAAAGTGGCAAAGACGGATGGCGTTGCAAGGTAGTACGCATGTGGAAGGAAGAATCGGGTAACTTGTATGGCCGCTGCTCCCTGTACCGAGTTTAAAAACCAAATATTCATCTGTTTTTTCCCTTGTAAATTTATTCGCAAAACGATCATGTCGTCTGTACTTTTAAGGCACTTTTTAATATACGAAATAGGAAAACGTTGCGAAATTGCTTTCAATATACCGGGTGTATGTATACGTATATAAATATATATTTTATATATATATATATATATATGGGGCATTCTCTGTCAAGCGAGCCACCCCCTCTGTCCATTTCAATTTTTGAGATAAAATACTTCAAAAAATCTTAAAATTTTCGTTGAAGTGTTTACTTTTTGATGCCATATGGCCTTTTTAAAAATTTAAGATGGCGGATCTAGAATTGCGACTAAAATAGACTGTGATCGTAAACATTTTTTGGAACAAACTTTGATTACCGAAGCACGGGGGGTTAGAAGATTTTTCTATTTTCATAAATTAAGGTTTTGGGGGTCGCTGAATACGAATCCGCAGTCAAAATTATAAAACAATGGCGAATCTAATATGCCGGCCAAACTTAGTCAGTCTACAAATTATGCAAATTTTTTGTACAAGACTTACCAAAACAGAGTTTTTTGGGTCACCAATCATGAAATTTACAGTTAGTAAAACAGGATTCGGGATATTGAATCCAATATGGCGAGTGGAATATATGATCAATGGACAATGCATCTCACAACGTTCAAGTTAGAAGATTTTTTTGGACATCAAATTATATAATATATATTGTATGTATATATATATATATATGTGTGTGTGTGTGTGTGTGTGTGTGTGTGTGTATAAACAGCAAGAATATATAGGCGGCAACGGTCGTGAAAGAGGTCAAATTAATACGACAGGAACTCTCTATTGCGTCTCACTGGCAATATACTCGCGTTGTATCGCGCAGATGAAACGCGTTACAGAAACGAAGCAAAAATTCTCGCCGGAGCGGTGCAGGCGAGAGAGAAGCCGGCCGGAGCAGTTACGTTCGCGGGACTGTAAGTTAAAATAATTACGAAAAAGTACACCGTGGAGGATAAGCGCCGTATGAAAGTGGATAAAAGGTGAAAAAAGGTCGGGACGGATTAGAAGGGTGCATTAAAGGGAGAAACCCGACGGATGAGAAGAAACGAGAAACTCGCGTATGCTCTTAACGCGCGTATATGTTGGCGCGCATAAGACGTTTCCGTCAGATAGATTAAAAATATGAGAGATATGCAGAGCTCTTTTTCTCCTCTAGAAGAAACGACGGAGAGAAATTGTTAATCTTTCAGTGTGTTAAGCAATCGCGCGTAGAGAATAATCCATATAATTGGTTTACTGTGCTTATGAAATTATTGGAAATAAGAATTAGTTACAGTTCATATTTAAAAAGATAAAAACAGTTGAACTTTTGTTTATTAGTAAAAATTTCTTTACTATAATATAATTCTTTACTAAAAAATATGTATAGTAAATATGTATATAATATAATTTTTTACTATAAAAATATTTATAGTAAAAATGTTAATGTATCTATTTATTTTATTATAAATATTTCGAACCAAATCACTGTGTAATCAGCTTGTTATGAATTACATCAAAATTATTTTAGAAAAGAAGTTTTTTCAACAAAAAAATCCCTTTAATTCTCTATGCATATAAAATCGATATTTTTTGCATACGCAAGTATATATCTACGAGTCAAGATATACGTAAATTCTCATCGAAATACACATAAGACCCGAGAAATCGTGGAAAATGAGAAAGGAGGAAGACAAAGCGCGCAGTGCAGGAAACGGAAAAAGAGGGGGTGGAACTTTTTCCTCGTTGCATGCCGTGTATTCATCTTTCCGATGATTTTATGGACACGAGTAGGCGCATATAGTTGGCCGCGTCGTGGCGCAAGATGAACGGACGGGATAACACACGGCCGTCGGTGCCCACAATGGCCCCGGCGTTGTAACGAGAAAACAGGCGGCGCGGCCGCGCGATACCCGTCGGCTCTCCGTTCGCGCCGGCTGGCAGAGAAATTTCACTTTTACATGGTCGTATATTTTGCCGCGGTGACGCGGCCTATCGGGCTTCGATCAGCGCGCGCAATGGCTTTTTATTATTAACGCGCGCCGCACGTTTTACTATCTTTATGTCTTTAATCCGTCCGGCGAGGCGGTAACGCATCGGGGAACGCCGGTTGTTCTCCTACCCGTTTTTTTTACGACCGACCCTCCGTGTGTAAAGAGTGACGTTCTCATAGATATACCGTATACGCATTTAAGGACTCGTAGTCGACGGACGGAATGGTCGCAGCTGATAAAAGTGTCATCGGCGGCGACGATACTTCATGAGATATTGAGACGGCGGCGCGGCCGCGACGGACCCACGCGCGGGTATATATGATCGCGCGGTCGTTAAAAAAATACATTATTCAGCGAAGAGTATAGGTGTTTAAGTGGCTACTCTACTTGATGAAAACTGTCAGATGCATTTTGATATCTCTTCTTCTTCAGACATCATCTTTTTGTTTTTGTTTATTACTCCACATGCATATATGTATATATGTATATGTGCTGCATCCCGGACCGAGGGGGAGGAGTAAGTGATGAAAGTCAAGAATGTGTACATATTATGCACGAGCGTGTCACTCGCACAAAGGAACTGATACCTTTCAAATTAGAAAACATCAAATTTATTTATGGAACACTGCGATATAAAATGATTCAAGTCATACTACCGAACACGTCACACATTCGCCATGCAGCTCGGATAAAACCCTCTTTTATTTAAATAATTAAATATCAGGAAATATCGTAGAATTTAACAAACAATTGAGATCGCATAACGCCTACACGGTACAAAACGGATCTGGGTGCTTCTATATAATATTAGTGTGAATTCTATAAGTTTCCTGACTGAGAACAGAAGTGATATTTTTTTGCAATAAATTTTTTTACAAAGTAGATTAGAATCGTTCGTATAGATGCAAATTAGCATTTATTTGACGTCGCGAGGGAGGGGGGGATTTATTAAATAGATGCTTTAAACATCGATTTATTAGATTGCCTTTGGCAATTTAATTGCGATATTACATATTACTCGGTTCGGAGCTACGGTGAAGCACGCGAGTTGCGGTCACGTGGTGTTATATGAACCGAAATTTGTAAGATTCACACTAATTATATAAACGCACCCAGACCTGCTTTGTATACTGTGCAGACGTTACGCGATCTCTTTTATTTGTTTATTTATTACACGAGACGACTCGTTAATCAGAAATATAGATTTTCTAGTTAGTTAATCTTGTAGTCGACACAAATAAGCGGTCTTCATAGGGATGCAACAATGTATTTCGTGTGTGTGTGTGTGTGTGTGTGTGTGTGTATGTGTAAGCGCACGTGTGCGTATATCATTTTGGTATTATACTTGAGCATATATGATTTATATTGCATTGTAATATTTGTAGAAGAAAAATCTCCGGGAAATTTTAATCTCCAGATGTAAAATTCTAGAACGCTGCGCGAGCCCGAAATATCTTATCTCAAACTTGGTAACATAGTCTGCATGATTTTCTTGCGCACAGTCTGTCTCAAAAGTTTCTGAACTTTTTTTCTACAGGTTATACAACTAAAGTTATCTGTTGAATTATTACAGAATTATTTTCCATGAAACTTTAAATGACGCCAAAAGTGAGAGTGCGTTTTTGACGCTCGTTGAGAAAAATAATGAAACAAAGAACACATACGATGTTTTCAAAAGCTGTCCTAATGCTTGATCATCATATTCACTTGATATAATTTTCTATGATTATTTTCTTTTTCCAAAGTTGAAAATGAAACTGAAAGGATAACACAATTTCTTTGACATAAAATAATGAGATACAGAACAAGTCGACCGAAATTGTTTCCTCCTCGGTTTTTCTCATTCTAAAAAAAAGTTTATTAAAGATATTTCCAGAAATTGTAAGATCGCTAATTCGCTATAGATATAAAGACTCTATTAATTCAGATGAAATATGAATATTTAAAAAATAATTAATAAATAAAATTACAAAAATCACATAAAAAATTGTGAATTTTCTAAACAAAGTTCGGGAACTTTTGAGATAGACCGTGCATAGTTTCATTTACATTAAAACTTTTAAACAATAAGTGAAAAACTTTTTCGCTTAGAACTTTTAAGTTGTACAGTAAATTATATTAAATAAACCAAAGATAAAAAAAGTTTAATATATCTATTCATGGTATTTCATATATCCTTTCAAGTTCAATATATCCTTTATATTTGTGAATTCAATTATTCTCCCTCTATATTTTTTTCTTAATCTGGAAGTGGCTGCGCCTTTTTGCCGCACCTTTCTGATCTTCTATTTATCTCCTAATTTATTAGCATTATCGTATTTTTCTTATTTAATATATTTTCCTTTATACTTCACACAGTGTAAAGAAATAAACGCCACACGCGCGCTTATTCTTATGTGAAGTTTTATATGTTGCAATAATCGATCTAAATGACCGTAGCGCTCGCATTTATGGTATAATTATTTTCTTTTCCACATCACTAACGTAACTGGTCGCGTGTCACTCAATATCATGTACATTACAAGAAATATACAAGTATGGAGAAGCGTACATTGTTTTGAAAATTTAAAAAGTTTGAATTTATATAGAAGAAATGATTATAGTGACTTGGAAGACCGATATAATACATTTTTGAATCAGAATGCAATTCAGAATCAGAAACAGAATTGAATCAAGAACTGGATGTACAATACTTTTAAATTCGAGAACGTAAGTACAACTAATTGTATTATACATGTGCAAAAATATACTCCGGTCAAAATGGGACGCGCCTGTTAACGTTAATCAATTCAAGTTCATGCACCTGCTTCGGACTTACAAGCCTCAATTACAATCGATCGCTCACCTTTCGGAGGATTGACGTGCAGCGCGGATCTGTACAGGCTCTCCTCATCCCTCCAGTCGGCATTCCTCACGAGCGTTTTCGCCGACATCACGCCGATGAGAATCGCCGTTCCCAGCAGCACCGCCCTGCCGCGCGTTCTGGACCCGTTTCTCCTCGCTATCCGGTAGCACCCGGACACCGCGGCGCCGACGACCAGGCAGGCGCCCACGCTGGGCAGGTACAGTATCCTCTCGGCTATGACGAAGCCCACGTAGAAGAACAGATTGCTCGCCGGCAGGAACGGGAGCACGAGGAAGCCCAGGGAGACGGCAACGGCGGCGGCCGCCGTCCGCCGGCCGCCGGCGTTCACGCCCGCGTTCGCGCCTCCGCCGTTGCTGTTCGGCCTCTTGGCACAGTGACAGTCGCCGAGCGGACTGTTGTTATTGTTGTTGGCCGCCCGGCAGCCGTCCGTGTGGCAGCCGCCGGTGCGTCTGCCGGCGCACACGGGACACCTGGAGGACGCCGAGCGTGGGTACGTTTGCTGCTGCAGAAGCGAACCCGCGTCCCGCCGCGGCCGCCGCAGACCCCTGGCGGCCCAGAAGGCCGCGCCGATCAGCACGGCGTACAGGCACAGGGACTCGAGATTCCGCGGGTCCAGCGGGCTCGTCACGCGCGGCACCGCGTCCATCGACCAGTCGAAGCTCAGCGTGCTCGGGCACAGCAGCATCCTCGCGCTCGCCGCCGGCAGATACAGGAACGTCAGGCCGCGCGTCAGCCGCGACGGATGCCTCGCCGTCGGATTGTCCGCGCTCGCGAATTCCGGCCTGCTGCCGGCGAGCCTGAGCCGGCCCAGCGCGAGCAGCGCGAGACCGCCCGACAGTATGCCGACGCTGCGACCCCGGGTGAATCCGCAGCTGCCCTGAAATTCAACAGACGACGGCTATGCAGGGCATTCAAGGGCATTGCTCGTATAGCTCCGTTGTCGCGCCACGTCGTGCTTGGGAGTTCGGTCATAAACTAGGTCAAACGTTGCGCTCGCGACAGACATGTGTCGATTATGGTATGCATTGTAACAAACTATATTTAAGGTAGTACTACTAGTGCGACAGTCCCATTAAAAAACTGGGATCTTATTAGTGAAAAGAAAGTTTCAACATGTGATTATATAATATATTAAATGCACTTTAAAGTTTAATAAATTAACGTCTTATTGATAAAATCAGCACAATGTTTAATAATAATTAAAAAGTAAACAATCAATTATTTATTTTGGCTTGCTGGGATAAACTTTTGGTTGCGGGTATAACCTACACACTCTAAGACTTTTGTATATGATATACATATACTTAGATAATAAAGATGTGACTCCTAAATTAAGACATAAAAGTTAATTTATTAAAGAGAAAACTCTTGGGAAAAGATTAAAAGCAATTTCGGCAATGTCTCAAGCAAAGAAAGAGAAAAAGACTCGATGTGTCATAATGTGTCATTTGCCACATTTTCATAACCTTAAGCTATTTACGCGTTGAACAGTGCGTATGTTGCATATTTTGTTTAATTACAGTTTTTAAACTAAACGGTCTACAATTTTGAAGCTTTTTTTTATAACATTTATATACTCTTGTTCTATATCATACTCGTTTTTTACAACAATTCTAAGAATGGTATAGATGCTATAATTAAAAATCTGACGTTAACTTGAGTTGCGTATATGCATCACATGTAAAAACTGTACATTTTAATTGCAATTATCTCAAAAACTAGACGGTTAATATATTCCTAATTGCATACAACCATAGAGAGCACTTCAATTTACTTGTATTTAAAATTTTGGTACATTCGTAAGAAAATCATTTTATTCAAGTACTACCTTAACTTCTTGGGATTTGCGACCGCTAAAATCAAACGTTGGGTTTCTTCATCCCCTCTCTCTTATCGTAGATTTTAATTGAAATAAATGTGTGTTTGTGTGTGTGTGTGTATATATATACGGAAATACATGCATATGAAATACGTGTAGTTTTCCAGATGGATTGCTGATTTTTATAGGTGCTCGACTAGGCTCGTAACACATTTTTTTTCTCGCCGTAATAAAGGGAACGGCGTCATAGATTTAAAACACGTAACTACAAGACGGCATGCAAGCGCGCGCTATATGTGCCGCGACACACGTGCACAAGCGTGACACATGTGTTACGGCGCAAGTATATATATGTACATATATATATATATATACAGAAATAATAAAAGTACTGTAGAAATGCATTACGAGGTATCTCGGGAAATATGATACTGTAATAACGCGGCGCGCGACGGTATTTCCGTTGTCAGTTCATCGGCTATACGCTGTTTCCGCATTGTTGCGATGCGTCCGTGCTCTCTCGTTTCTTTCCCTTTTTTTTTCTTTCTTTCTCATGAATAAGCAGAAAGGGAAAAGGGGCGAATTGGAAGTATGAAAGTCTTGTCGAGGCGATGTTTGCCTCGGCGAACGCGGCATTGCAGCCGACCGGAAGGTAGTTTCGGTCGGATGGAAAGGAGAAAATCGTTTGTCCGACGAATCGGTGAACAAGACTCGGGTCTCGCTACACAATGCTCGTGTTGACGAAACGCGATGGGATAACAGACGCTTTGCCGCGCCCTTCATCGCGCTCGCGGTAGACAAACAAAATGTTATTGAAGAAAGAAGGTAGGGCGGATCTTTACGTTACGAAAAATCCGCCCTTAACGAAATCGTAAAACGAAAATAATTGTAATTTAATTACCCAATTGTACTATTACGTGATAAAACAGCAATGCAATAAAAAATAAAGATAAATTTGAAAAAATTTGAAAAAATTTGAGAAAATAATCGAAGGAATACATGATTATTAAATAACTAGTATGTAATAATATTTAATAATTAAAGTCACTTTCAATTCTTATAACTTTTCAATTGTTATAAGAATTGAAAGTGACTTTAATTATTAAATATTATTACATACTAGTTATTTAATAATCATGTATTCCTTCGATTATTTTCTGTAGAGCATTAGATAATAAAAATATTTGTGTCCTTATAACTCTTACAAAACGGAAAATACTACAGCGGACACGTTCTCTAGATTACATTATTAGATTATATTGAACTATACGAAATTCGCGCGAAGAGTCTTAATGAAATTTCCGTCCGCAGTAACCGCGGCTTTGAAACGCGATTCGAAAGTTACACAGACAGTCGGATCAGGTTGAAATAATAGTTTGCGGTGAATTTATAATTCACGTTAAGCACGATTACGCTCTTCGCCCATAGCGCCGAGACACTCGTCTCGTGTATATCTCCGACTGGAATGGGAACTGGCGCAAAGTGTGCCACAAAGTTCGTTAAAAAAGTTAGCTGACGCGAAATTGAATGCCACGTCGTCGTGTTTAAGTGTCGCGCGCGCATTTTACTGCACGTTGCTTCCGGTACGCCTTATTACTTCGCATTACCCCTCTCCCCGACTCCCTGCTCCCCCCCCCCGTTTCTCCATTCCAATTTTGTATTATTCCGAAGTTTCTTGCGCGCGCCGCGAGTTCGAGCGTCGCGAAAGAGAAGAGAAGAGACGGCCCTACACGGGAAGATTTGTCGTCGGCACGACCGTGAATAGTTTAAAGCTCGCCTTAATAAACGAACGATACGTCGCGCTTCGTGCAAACTTCCGCCAAGTTCGTTACAACCGTAAGATGTAATTTTCCGGACGATGCGAGCGGGTTACGATGAGGGCGGCTGCAGCATCCACGCGCGCGCGCGCGCGCGCGCCACCACTGGCTCCGTAACCGCTAATTCCGGACTGAAACTTTTGCTATAAAGACTTTCTGTGACAGCGACAATTATCCGTATTACGTGCAATAAGGCACTCTGTATGTTTCACAAAGGCAGTGCAACATTACGCGGTTAAATTGTTAATTTATTCGTCGACCGCCGTTATTCAGAAATTGATCGTTGAATGTTTGGAAAATTTTCAATAATAAATCTTTCATTATTTCACATAATCAATCGTGCTATCTATTCCAAATTGATAAAATTCATTCTACTATTTAACAGAGGTGTGCGAATAGTTCGAATTCGAATCAAATCGAATCACAGTGGATTCGATTCGAGTTCGTTTTCGAATCTGCAAAGATTCGAAATCGAAGTTCGAGAACTTCAAATCAACAATGGTTCGATTTCGAATCGATTGCATATTTTATTTGATTCATTTACATCTTCCGTGCGACCAATTATTCTTATCTAGTAAATAAGTATTTTTGATACATGTAATGTATTCATATAGATTAATAAAATATTCAAAAGCGTTCCAACTATTCGTGTATACACATATTATTAATATTTTCTAGTTCAAAATGTCACATAAGATCATGATCTTTTGTAATGAGATGTAAATCGAAAATAGGTTTTCAGTTTGTTTAAATCATTGCGTAAAATAATATAAATCATAAATTTTGATATTTATTACGTTAAATTAACGTGTAATATTAATCTAAGAAAATTTGATTCAGATCGATTCGTATTCGAATTAAAGAGATTCGATTCGATTCAACCATGCAAATGCTTGATTCGCACACCTCTACTATTTAATAAACAATAAAAGACACTCTTCGTGTAATTTATATACACTGAAAAAAAAGATTTGTTGAAAAACGCAAAATTTGTTTCATTTTACCAAAATATTTAGTCCGATACGTTCGACTAAACATTACTACGATGACACAAAATAATTTGTTTAACTTTTAACTATTATAAACAAAATACTATTTTTTAACTAAACTATTTTGTTTGAACAAAAATTTATCGTATTTAACTCAACCGTTCTGTTAAAGATACACATTATTTATTATCCTCATCAGCATTGTTTAGTCAGTTCAATACTTGGAATTTAAACAAATATATTACTTGGATAACTAAATAGCATGCAAACAAGTAAATACTACTAATATTTCGAACAAAATAATTTAATTGAGTTGGTTTAGTTAATTCTTAATTAAAACATTTTAATAGTTGACATAAATGAACTATACCATTCTTTGTGCAACTAAAGAATTGTTGAATTAACTATTGGATTAAACAACTATACAAATTTAGTTCGTACAATCAATTTTTTTTCTCAGTATATAAGATATATATCGAATGCAGTAAAACTCGCTATTGTAGCTTAAATAATATTAAACATAAACTGCTGGTAACACATTTATTTCTTGAAAAATGCGATCGCGCTTAAATTTAAATTCCAAATGTTTCGATAATCCGAATACGTTATTCTTGCAACGAATGTACTGCAATTAGCTTAGATTACCGTTGCGGCACCATAATTGCCGTTAATTCCATCACTTATCGCGGATTTTCCGTTCAGCGACGATATTGTTTTATCTCCGATAAAACGGCCAACGAAGCATCCAAAAGGAAACAAACGTCACGGAGCCGGATTTAACGTCGCGGCGATATTTCACGAGGGGAGATATCCAGCCGGGCTTGTTCGATACTCTCTCGCACGAATCGATAATCTGAAAACCAGATTTTTCCAATTACTTCGCGATCGTTCCGGACAGTTCGATCGTAACTTAATAAATTTCCGCCGCCCTTCGCCCTTCGCGCGCTTCCCGCGTCCATCCCGGCTCTAGTTCTCATCTGCCGAACGTCACGTCTCGTTTGTCTCCCCGGATTCTCGCTGCGCAGCCACTACCCGCCGTTCCACGCATATTTCCGCGCGGCCGGACAAAGCGAGCGGAAAACGAGAAAGAGTAAGTACCATCGCGAACGCCGGTGACGTTTCCGCTTTCGAATAGCGGGACATTTCCGTTTCACATCTTGTCGTTTGTGTCGCGAAAAAAATCGCGACCCTCTTTGAAAAATTACGTGTTGCGTTACATTGAGTTACGTGCTTGAAAAAAAAAGTCATAGAGAATTTCATCGAAGTTGTTATTTGACACAAGCTAGATGCACGATTTGAAATTTTTTTTTTATTTCTCAAAATTTTTTTTTTGTTTTTCAAAAAATGGATTGGTCTCTTAGCACTTTAATCCGCTGTTGAGGCGTATCGCACTCGACTGCAGATTCTCATGGTGGGAAACGGCGTGCGAACAGTTTACACTCGACGGTGAATGCCTCGAGCTGGAGAGCGAGAAATGGGGGGGGGGAGGAAGCCGCAGAGGGATGCAGCCGACGGCGGCGCGAGCGCGAGGGACGCGCAACGGGGGAAATATAATAAGAAGAGAAATATAAATGGGAAAAGGGAGGCAAACGAAAAGAACGAAAAAGAGGTGTAGAGAGGCCTCAGAGGCGCTCGGAGGGACGTCGGAAAATGCGAACGATCCTCTTGGCACCCCTCCAATCGCGGCGTAGATAGGGAGAGAAAGAGAGAGAGAGAGACGGGTGCGCGTCATGCATCACGCGAGACGTCCGGTGCATCCAGCGCATCCGGATGCACCGTGCGCGAAAGGAGATGGCGAACGGGGATTTTGGGACTCGCGTGGGGAACAGGGTGGTGGGACGGAATGCAAGGGAGGGAGGGAGGGAGGGAGGAGGGGGGGAGATATGGTGTGAGTGACGACAGTAGACGCCTAAACGCGGGAGGCTGGAGAAGGGCGGCTTTACCGTGTGTGCATCAGTTCGCTGTCTTCGCCAGAATGCAGGCAAGATGCGGCGCATCGCAACGGCACTGCGTTATCGGTTACACGCTTCCACGAATCCGTACGTGCGCACACGCGGGGCTCCGCCTGTCTTCCGCCTTGTTTCCCTGTCGAAACTTTCACGCTCCACGAAACAAGACGGCGCGGATAAACGACGACGACGACGACGACGACGACGACGACGCCGGCGTTCTCGCGCGTGGCAATCGCGGAAATCGTGCGGCGCGTCCGCAAACTGATATCGATTCGCGAAATCCCATCCCGATAGTTTTATCGTGCCGAAGACGTCGAGTTCCCAGTCTTGTATAGTTAAAGATACCTTTATCGACACCAGCTCCTCACGCTCGAATACGTCTATTTTAAACTTAATATCTTATAACGATATGTGTCATGTCTCAAGTATTTATATTGTATACAGTTATTAACAAAGTATAATGCTATATAAATAAATTGATATATAAAACGTTACTGATATTTATTTTAGTATGTTATTCTTGTATTTAGTATGGTAGTAATCTGCGATTGCATGTATCTCAGAAATAAAAATTATTAAAATTATTAAGTAGATATTGAAAGGATTCAGAAGAAAAGTGAACAAATTTTATAACGCTTTATACAGGAAAAGACGTTTTGCTGGATGCTCTGAAATATAATTGTTATTCGATCATAAAAATAATTTTATTAAAAACAAAAAATTAGAAGCATTATTGTAAAATGTTTTGATATTCTAGCAACCAGTTTGAATTTCCAGCAAAATTATTTTGACGGTCCAATAAAATTATTTTCAGATCTGTATCCAGCAAAATTTTTAGACCTTCCAGCAAAATCGTTAATTCTGTGTATATAGAGATAAAATTTCACATTTAATCAAATCTCAAATCAATCTTATTGTCTGATTTAGCGGTCGCAAGTCCAGCTCCCTATACAATGGAAGTATCCGATACTGCTAAACTAGATGATATCGCGCCACTTACCTTTCGACTTGGCTCGCCACGACAGAGCTCCCACAGAAGGCAGAGAGCCAGAGACGATATGCCAGTTTCCTTAGCGAGGGTGGCCAACGTCGACGACACCAGGGCCAGCAGCAGAGGAAACGGCGACCTCGTGCGATTACAATGGGCCGAGTACGTCAGGAAAGATGTCAAGGTCAGGAAACAGGCAAGAAGGTCGGCACGTCCGACTATACCGGCCACAGCTTCACTGTGAATGGGATGGACCGCAAACAGGAAACCCGTGATCGCGTGCGCGAGATTGCTCCTTCCTGGTAGGACCTGCGGAGTGTAATTGCGGATATCTAGTAAGGTACACATGTAAACGTCTCGCGTGGCGATCCTTCGAGTGACGGGAGCGGGGTAAATTAACTCCAGCGTTAATTGACTCTACTCCGCCGCGAGGATTGCCTGATCCGAGTTTCAAATTAATTGTCCATCGGCCAACAATGATAATGGCTAGCAATGATAACATCGATAATAACAATGATCTGTCCTGAAATATTGGATATTAGTGTTTATATAATTTACATTTTATGACACGCGGATTTCTATATAAAGTCTTAATCAAAACTTTTATGGAAAATATACATCTTTGGCCATAAGTATAGAGCTCTCAAATTTATTGCATTTTCTTGGAAAGAATGGCAATAAAATCCATAGGAGTAACAAACTATTAAAATTGTTCTAAAAATAAATATTATCAACAAAATCGTTTTCTAATTTATTTCTCATTAGAAGTTTGCATCAACAATTTTGTGGAAGCGCTTTATATTTATGGCCTAATAAGTTAGCTACAATTTACTTCGTTGTAATAATTGACATGTATTAATATGTCAAATTTAATACTAAAAAGAAAAGTGATAAAGACAGTGACGTTTATTCACAATAAAAGAAAGAATCGAAAAATATAGGTAGTAGTATATTTGGATCAAAATATGAAAAGGAATATCAAATATATGTAGAGGAATACAATTCGCAGGTTTATGCGCGACGCTTGGTAATCGTCGGCAGCAGTCATTGACGAGGGTTATTCGAAAATTATACGATCCGATGCACATTTGCAATAAAGGGAGGGGGGGAAAGGGGGCTGGAGGATACGGGCGAGACGGGTGGAATTTCGAGCAGGGAAAATTGTATAAATGTCGTATATTTTTTCAGCGCGCCCCAGCAGAAAATCGAAGGTGGCGACGAAATGGCTCGGAAGGGAAACCAATCGGAATCGAGAACCGAACATGCAGGAAACACCTCGCGGCGAGATACGTCTTACCGAGGAGATATTAACGGCATGCATAACTCAAAACGCTGCTCTCGAAGTACGAGAAGTACTTTCATTAATACACTTAGACGCAGTTAATTAGCGCGACAGTTTCATTACACGGGAAAGTGCTGTGTGTATTAAATTAACGCGGCCTCCTCGTACTTGCCACTTCCGCACGTTCATAATAACGCGCTAAAGCGATTTGAGTTGCTAATGAACTTATAAAACGGTACGCAACTTGGATATTACTGCTTATTTTCACGATTCCAAGAAATAACGCTAAGCACCCTCGCCACCCGATCACGTAGTCCGGTATCGCCATTATACGCTACGTGCAACGTTCGTTCTCAACTGTGGGAAATATTTTGCGCGAGTAAGCGATACGGCCCGATAAAATTGTTATTATCCTAATCGGAAAGTCCAATATGATGATAATAATAACAGGAAAAAGTGAGCGCTTTTCGCTCACTTTTGACGTATCAGCAATACAAAATGTAACATCAGCTACGAAACTTGTCACGTACGGTCGCATGAGTAAATTTCGCATGAGACAAATTTGGAAATCGCGTTAGCAACTTTCACATCGCTATGCGAATTTTCATAAAAATATTGTTTGTCAACCCATCAACATTCATCAATAAATATTACATTTATATCATTGTCAAATACCTCAGTTGCAAAAAGAAAATTAACACAACGAGCTCCCGATAGGTATTTAAAGTGAGCATGCAGTCACTTTTGCTTTGTCGTCATGCTCGACGATGTTCTCGTAACATGATCAATGTCTGCATACTTGACAACATTTACATTCGTATTTACACTATTTTACAGTATATGTACTGCTAAGTTACCATGATAAATCGTGAATTATGAATGAATCATATAAAATAGGCGAATCACGAATGGTGTGGAAGATCTTATACATTAGCGAATAATGAATTTCCGCGAATCTTACACGAATGGTGAACCACAATTTACTAATTGTACTAAATAGCACATAACTTGGCGCTAGCTTTACTGTTCCCCAAATAGTTCGTTGCAAGTTCGCTTCAAAAGCGGCGAGATCAAAAGGAGAGCCGCGACAAAGTGAACAATGTGGTGCAGAAGTATGTTCAGTTTTCGCAGTTGTTCATGAACTTTTTTTTTGTATGCACTGTTCGTGAATAGATCGAGTAGCGCAGTTCGCGAACTGTTTTCCAGCGAGTAAGCATCTTAAACAGAATACGAGCGGTGTTTCGGCCGTTTCTCATCTGCACGCGAAAATAATACCTGCTTCAACGTGAAGATACTGCTTGCTCCAATGTGCGCGTCCCTAAAATATTGCGACAAATATTACCATCGAATGTCGCACGGCCAGGCAGAAAATTAGACCGTGCGATGTCAGCTTACATTAGTACCGCTCGTAACGCAGTTTGAACGAGTAAACAGTGTGCGAACGATACAACTCAATAAACAAGTTATTTTCAGAAGCGACGATTTTCGTCGGCAAAAGCCACCGCGTCGTTCACCGAGAGTGCTACGAATGTCGGAGAATATAAGCCTGGTGAATTCTGCCCATTCCCTGCGTCACATTTCGCCGCTGCCTCACATCTATATGCGCACCGTCGACATGAGAACCGCCCGCCGATGTGAGTACTCCTCAAGTATTGCAGCAAATATCACCATCGAATATAATATACTCTCGGCTACCGCAGGGTTGAGAAGTAACGCGTTACTTATGTAACGAAGTTACAGTTAGAATTAGTTTTTTTCGGTAATTATAACTTAACTTTGTTACTTTTTTCCAACTATAACTGTAACTTAACTTAGTTACATCTTTTTAATAACTAGTAATTAATTTAACAGGCTACTTTCATTACTTTATATATTTTAAACTTATTTGACAATAGGGTAACTCCGGTATACACGTCGCGCGAGGATTTATGCCGCGGAAGCCAAAAAAAATAGAAGAAGTGAAAGTAATTTTCTTGCAATCTGCACTCTGTTACATACTTTTATGTTATATTGTGTATTGTGTATTGTGTTATGATTTCAGTTTTTTACTGTTAATATTTATAGAGTTATTGTAAGTTAAATCGATTTATCATTGTAATAAGTAGCGCAACCATAAGTTATAATCTATACGTAAGATGATTATTGTATAAGGAAATATAAACGGCTTCGTGGTTATTTCGTGGTACATAAGCGTAGAGGAATTGTAAAGGATAGAGTATAGCAAAATACAAGTGTTTAGCTCATGTATTTTTTGTTTAGTTTATTGTCTCATATATCCCATCTGTTTAGGATATACGGCATTTTTGGCGCGTGGGATTTATGCCGTAGTACAAACGCTATTATTTATTTATACATATAAAAGTAAATAATAATACGTGATATAATGCGCCCTTTACAATACTTAATAATAATATTCATGTATGTATATGTTTATGTATGTATTTATTCATAATCCGTGATAATACGTTTTTTATTTATTTATTAATAAGTAAATGCAAATTACGTTATCAATTCACGTGTTATTTACTATTATTATTTAGATTATTCGTATATTTTTTTAATCATTCATCTCACCTGCGAGTAGCCGCATGCCCCACCCATATTTTTATACGACAAAAATGCAAGGATTCAAAGAATTTTTTTTAATATAAAAAATAAATATTTTGGATTCTTAATATTTTTTCCATAGTAACAGACAGTCTAAAGTTTTTACTGGTATAATTCATTTACCTTAAACATAATTAATAATACCTGATAAATTAAGTTTTTAATAGGTGCGGCGTATATACCAGAGTTACCCTACAGGCTTCTGTTGAATCATTTTTTCTACTTTTTAATTAAAATTGTATAACATGTGAACCAATCTTTGTCTCTGATGATCTTAATGATATCAATGTTACATATGCTGTTAACCGTTCTATTATGATAATAGAAAAGTAATACTTAAAAGTAATATACCTTATTACTTTTTTAGTAACTGTAACTGTAACAAGTTACTTTTTAGATTCGGTAACTTGTAGCGGTAACTAGTTATTTTTTGAAAGTAAAAAACTGTAACTAGTTACTTTTACAAAGTAACTTTCCCAATCCTGCGTAGAAAAGTAGAGCAGGCGATATCAGTTTAATATCACTCGTAAGCAATTCGAGCCTGCACGTCTCCATAAACGGGTTATTCTCGGAAACAGCAGCTCAACGCGAAAAAACGACCGCATTGTATATAGAAGTATTACGATTTTGAAGAATAAGCCTAAAAACTCTAGATAATAATTGTGTAACTTTTTCCCTAAAGATACGATAAGGAATAATATGGAAAGTGAAAATTTTTATCATTGAAGATAATGGAAGAGATTACATGATTGATGATACTTGGCAGAATCTCTCCTTTCTCTGCATTTGTTCCTCGGACACCAATGATTTCGCTCTACTTCTTCAATTTTTTTCTTATTCAAAAACTTCTCGCCAGTACTTCCGGTTTATCCCTAATTCGTTCCAAACCTCATCTAGTAGCTGCGTGTATATCAAGTGTTCGACGATATATTTTTTACATAATTAAAAGAATAAGAGATCGAGTTTGATGCATTTTAGAGAGCGAACATATATTTGAATTAATACAAATGTAATTAAATTTCATATTCATTTAAATAATAATATAACTGTTATAATTTAACTTGACGTAAATTTATTGCACGTATAATTAAATTGTACTTTTGCGTGGCTTCTCGACGCGCCATTAAAACATGCCGAAGTTAAATACTCGCCAAGTTAAACACAGTGACCAAAAGAGGTGATGTAAAATTAAAGTCTCATTAGGATGATAGGAGCCACGTCGCGGCTCTTTTGATTCCCCTCCGTATCCGGAAGTTCTATTTGAGATGTTCGCGTGCATACAGTTACGTCGAATCGCCATTACAGTTCTCTTTTACGATCCGCGCCCCTGTCGCCCCCTTCCGGAATAAGAGAAATCCCAGGCTAACTAAAACGAAGTGACATCGTAAAATTAAAACCGCGCGGCAGGCTTATGGCAAAGTTAAACGGGCTCTCCCTCGTTATTTGAATTCTGCCGCCGACGATTCTCCCCTCCGATGATGTGCTCCAGCACAGATAAAATAAAAAGGATCTCGGCGGTTTTATTTCGGATATAAAACGAACCTAAGATTACTTAATAATTAGATGGATTCATAACGTGTGACTTTTACTGCAAAGCGAACTGCGCCCCTCCTAATCTTCCCCGGGGACAAAGCCGTGCAAATTAGCGCCGTGCAATAAGAACGGTCGTGTAGTTGATGAGAGGAGAATTAAGTCTACCAACAGTGGATGCTCAAATCTTGATTAATTGTCAGTATTGTTTTCTTGGACAGCAAACAATTTGCACGCAAACAATAAAAACAAAACGTATACAATAAAAATATGTAGAAACAAAAACAGCGGAATAAAAATTAGTTAGCGATTAACGAGTTTTTTGTTGGATAATAATTAATTCCGAATAGATTTTCAGACTTTATAATAATCCTACATAATACCCTGGACTTTTATATTAAAAGAAGAATAAAACATGAGCGTTAACGGTAATATTTCGGCATCGGAGGAAAATTAAGTCTACTAACAGTGGATGTCCAAATCTTGATTAATTGTCAGTATTGTTTTGTTGGACAGCAAAAACAATTTACACGAAATAAAAACAAAACGTATATATAATAAAAATGAAAACAAAAACAGTGGAAATAAAATTAGTTAATGATTAGCGAGTTTTTTGTTGGATAATAATGAATTCCGAATAGAGTCCCAAACTTTACATTAATCCTACCCTGACTTTTATAATAAAAGAAAAATACAGAGAGTCAACGCGATAATATTTCAGCACCGGACGGATTTTTAGGATTTTATTTTTGACAGCCATTATATTGTTGGATATTATCAAATCACCCGTATGATATGCGCTCTACAGGTGTCATCGTTAGCTCTTTTCTATCTCCTTGCCATAAAATATTGTCACGATCATGGGCGTCTACAGGAGGGGAGAGCCAAGGAGGGGCTTTTGCCCCTCCCCCCGAAATCAAACGAGTACAAAAAAATTCAGAATTTGCTCTAATTTTTACAAATAATAAATATGTTTGTCAAATGTGAGAGAGCTAAAATACAACACAGGTACACAACGTTTGGATATTTATTGCTCCTCGTGGTAGTTCGTATTAAAAATTTGGATCATGCCCCCCCCCTCTAGAAAAAATCCTGCGGACGCCCTTGGTCACGACATAATCATTTTTCTTGTTTGAAGCGATCGAAATTTTTTAATTCTGTCGTGATGCAACTGTCGCAGTAACTCGTTTTACTTCGCGAGATGATATCTTATAGAGATTGCGGAAGGAATCACTCACCTTTCGGGCGACCTTGACCACGAGAACGGTGCAGGCGGCGTGTAACGCCACGTTCACCAGGTGGTAGCCCCAAGGTTCGAGGCCACCCAGAAAATGATTCAGACGAAAGGTGGCCACGCAGAGCGGTCGATAGCTTCCGTGCGAGCCACGTTCCGTCAATGGTGTTCCCCAGAAGTCATTCTCGAACAACCGGTACCAAGGCGTGCTCGCCAGCAGGTCAGGATTCGTCAGGATGGCTCTTCTGCAAAGAAATAATAGATAGTCTAGATTATATCCCAATGTCATGAAAGTTGTATATATATGTAAACACATACATATATAATTATATTATATAAAATTTTTATTATGCTTATATGATAAAAATTTTACTTATATGTACGTGTGTTTATTTAATTATTTTATTATAACTATAAATTATTGTTTAATAAATTATTATATAGCTATAAATAATGAAATTATTGAATTATAATAAAACCATTATAATAATTAAATGTGCTTTAATAAATAATAATGCAATGATCAAAATTCGCGGAAACTTGATCGAATCTCCGTTTGAATTTGTGCGAATTTTCCGAATAATCCGATTTGCGCTGCAAAAATAAAACTAGTTATGGAAATAGCAAGAATTGGCAAAATCGTTTTTTTTTTTGGCCCCGTCGCAATTCGATGTAATTTAATCAGTGTATTGTAATAATGTAATCCGTATTAGGTTACCGATGTGCAAGCCGTGTTAAAAACTGCGAGACAGGTATTATTATATACCTAACGCAATTCGATCAGCGGTTAAAATAAAATAAGCCGTTTCCCTCTCAATTTGCCTATTTTCCCGCCATGGCGTGCAATTTAATACGGGACTTGCAACAATTCGGTCAGTTCATCGCGTTAACCGCATCAACCGAAGTTCTCCGCGGACCGAATGCCAGCGACAAATCATTCGGGGTGGCATTTAATAAACCATTTTTATCTCGCGTCCGTGAATTAATTACGTCGGCCGCGCGGACACACCATCTCATATACGCGTGTATTAGTTGGCAGAAACAATTTTCGCGCTCGTTATCGATCGGTCGTTTCCTATCAGCGTGTAAATATCAGTGCATCGACGTGTTCGGCGTTCGAGTGTTTTGCTTTCCGGGGGAATAAAATTGAAAATTAATAAAGAGTATTATTTGTTTGACGGAATATTTAATAAAATAGCTATTACGTCAGATAACATTTCAATATAGACTGTTATTTCTAAATGGAAGGATACAGAAAAAGTAATACTAAAAGCACGTGCGAAGCTATAAAAATTCTAAAATTATATAGGGTAATTCCGATATATATACGCACTTATTAAAAACTTAATTTATCTTAGGTATTATTAATTATGGTTAAGGTAAATAAACTATACCAGTAAAAACTTTAGACTGTCTACTACTATAAAAAAAAATATTAGGAATCTAAAATATTTATTTTTTATATTAAAAAAAAATTTCTTAAACCCTTGCATTTTTGTCGTATAAAAATATGGGTGGATTATACAGCTACTCACGGATGAAATGAATGACTCAAAAAATATACAAATAATCTAAAGAACTAAGCACTTGTATTTTGCTATACTCTATCCTTTACAATTCCTCTACACTTTTGTACCACAAAATAACCACGAAGCCTTTTATATTTCCTACACTAATAATCATTTTATGTAGATTATAACTTATGGTTGCGCTACTTATTACAGTGATAAATCGATTTAACTTACAATAATTCTATAAATATTAACAGTAAAAAACTGAAATTATAACACAATACTAACATAACATAAAGATATGTAACAGAGTGATTGCGAGAAAATTACTTTCACTTCTTCTATTTTTTCTGACTTCTGCGGCATGTACCGCGGTGTGTACCGGAGTTATCCTATTAATGCATTCTATATTTATCATTATTTCCAAACGTCAAGTAATATTCGGAAAATAAAGTTCTTGAATATATTTTGTCAAATCTTGCAGTTTCGGATTTGTTTTGTGAAATAAAAGTGCGAGAGATCGACGATAATGCAATTAGTTAAAATTGCCGTTTAAATAAGGTGCCCGTTATTATCGCCTACTTCGCCGGCGAGGCGGAGCAATCGTACGTGAGGATCACTTACACAGGCCGTCGTGTGCTAGCCTACGAAAACGGTTACGACGGCGATAGCGCGCTGCAGTGAAACGGCCTTATCGCCCGGCCTTATATCGTCGGCCGCGCACACCCGTGTGTACATACGTACATATATATATATATATATATATATATATATATATATATATTTCCACGTGTAAGAAGTGCAAAGTGTATTTCGAGCACTTCATGAATCTAAGAGCCGTTGGGGTCGTTCTCGAGGGCGAGGCGAAAAGGTTGGCGGCAACGACAACGACGCGCACGAGGATCGGCCAATGGCGATGGCGCCGTTTGCCTAGCGGCACTTTTGTCTCTTTACTGCGGCCTTAAATGCGAAGGCTATCGGTAGAGTGCTTCGGGATTATTCAATAATTTAAAAACACTCATTCCTCATTAACGGTTCTCGGCGCTATCGCGTTATAAATATGAATTTGGTATACGAAATGCGTATAGCAGTGGGAAATAAATAAATAAAAGAGAGAGCGAGAGAGAGAGAGAGAGAGAGAGAGAAATTCCATTGAAAAAGCGCACGTAAAAGCAGTTTATTCAAAAATAGTAATACAAAGTATATACCTACTCTAATATTTTCACACAATATTGCTTTACATATAAATGAAAGTAGGAGCAATTTATTGATGCAATTATTCAAGAGATCGCAACTTTTTGCAGTAATACATATACATATTTTATAATGAGGATATATTTTTGATAGTGTATTATATTTAGTACATTTTATTGATAAAAACGGTAAATGATGGCAGTTGTCGAGTGTGCTTTATAAGACAAATGACGCATGATGAACTGCAGTATTATCTATTTTAAATTAGCAAATTTTAGGAGTAATATATACATATTTTATAATGAGGATATATTTTGATAGTATATTATATTTGGTACGTTTTATTGATATATCAACTCGATGGCAGTAATTGAGTGTACTTAATAAGACAAATGACGTGTGATGAGCTGTCGTATTATCTATTCTAGGTTACATTTTTAGTCACATTGCTACAAATAAAAAAATATGAAAAAGTAACGCGACGCAGAGGGATACCAAAATAAAGTGGCTTGTGCAAATGAGATAATTTTGTATAATAGAAGTGAAATATCCCCCTTTTAAATGCAATCGTTTCAAGATTAATTTGTGCGTTAATTTGTGTGTTAACTTAAACTAAAATCGTGGAGGCCGATACGCAAAGAAAGCCCGCAATTACGGATCGCGCTTTTACGTTAAAGAATTCTTTCTTGCCATCGTTGAAAGGAGCATAATTGAACCCTTACACGGCTAAATCCGTTTCTGCTGCCGCAGAGAAAGGAAGGAGGATTACCACAACGGCGACGTACAAGTGTCACTTTCGCGAAATGAATAAAGCTAAACGATAACGTTTTACGCGACTAAGTCTATTTATACTTCAAAGTCGCGCCGGGGGGGAAAACGCTCCCGTTACCTCGAAATCATTTCAATTACCTCACGGCGCTCTCGTTTCACGTGCGTCTCTCGCGAAATTATGCACGCGACACGTTCAATAATCCGTTTTATTTTCGCCGTCGCTTTTCGTCCAATTAACGCGCGCGAGTCCCGCGCTGAACGCGCTCGTAAAAAGATTTGCAAGAAACGCGCCGTCGCTCGTTACGGCTCGTCCAACTTTTTCTTCCTCGAGCTCGCACAGACGATCCCTCGCCTCGGGCGAGGAGGCGTTCTAATCGACGGCCGATCAATATTCATGGGTATCGATGAACTTGATGTTTCGGTTCGTCTCCGGATCCCGATACCAAAGGCTATACACTTTAGATTGCATCGTCGAGTTGGCTTCGTCAATTTTACTGTCGCGCAATTTTTAGCATCGTAGTTTAATGAGCAACGCGCGTCACCAAATATTATTCTTTTCGCTTAAAATAATATTTACGTTACATTTTCAACTTATATTACTGCAGGCAATGTTTTTAAGATTTTATAAATTTCTTGTGGTAGAACGTTTTTTTTCGGGAATTTTTTTTCGAGAAAATTACATTTATTATTTCATAAACTTTTATAAACTCGTATAGACACTCATACATATAGCATCATCTTTCATCGAATTATCTTATACATTTATTATTCCAGATAAGTTTAAATGATTTTTTTAAGATTTTTTTATTGTTTATTGTTTTTTTTTTTCATATCTGAGCGCAAATACTTTTTAATCCGTAATTCTGAAATTAGTTTAATATTAATTGCCTAAATAGCTTGTAAACAAGAAATTCACCCAGAAATATTACATCATGCATTTAAATATCATATTCGATATATCCATTTTACCGGTAAAGAATTCATTGGAAGTCTGCTATAATATTTATTCGCAATCAGAGACAGTATAATCAACAGAATTACGTCAAATTATTGAAGCGCGATGCGACGGGGTTTAATGAATACAAATTATCGAAATAGAGTTTCTAATTATCGCAAGTAAATTACCTGAATTTAAATATTTAAGCGTTATGGCTCACACATATATATGTATATATATAAATATATATATATATATTACAATGTAACATATATGTATATATATATATATATATAATATATAATATATAATATGAAAGCATAGGTATTCCCTTTATTAATCCGCGAGTAAATTTCGCGCCGGGTTCGCACGGAAATCTCCGCAGAATTCGGGACGTCGGTCGCATAAAACGAGTGACACCAAATTACTTTCTTGTTAGTCGCTTCTGCACAATTCCCGCCGTTTCCCCGAATAATTTGTTATGCCGGAATGAGTTTGTCCGTAAAGCTGTGCCCGTCCTCGGGCGCGAGTAATCGAGATTGCGCGTCCTCGATGCTTTTTCACTCGCGGAGCTTTCGGCCTCCGTTCGTTCGTTCGTTCATCCGTTCGCCGCCGCCGCCACGCCGCCCGGCACCGGCTGGCTTGCGCGTACGTAATGAAAATTTGTAAAATCTCCCGACGAGAAGCACAAACGACAAGCCCCATACGACGAGGGGGAGCGGGAGGACTATCAATTAATCCCCATTCATGCCGATTGCAGTATTCTGAAAATTCACGTCGGCGACGTCGAATTCGCCTCGTTTAGGAGTTATTTTTCTGACTCGGCGCTCCC